CTGTTACCGGTGTGTCTACTAACTCTTAACGATCCAAAACGAACCAAAACTAACGTTTTCGAACCCTTAAACGGTTCTTCTTCAGGTTTTTTCGAATCTCTGATGGAAAATGCAGCTCGTAAAAACTTTAAATTCGAAATATGTAAGTTCGAATGCACGTTTCCCGTTTCCGTCGTTGTATGTCATGCGCAGTCGACTCCAAAACGGATATCATAAATTACCATTCATAAACGCTAGCCACGCTGTTGATAACGTAATCTCTTCTTTATAATTGATGCATTGATTATCCTTAAGGTTAGCTAAGTATATGCTGGCGGCCTCTAGCCATCTGATATGGTGTACTTGCTGTGTGGTGCGGATAATTCTGGCTTTCTTAAATTTGGGGTCTATATCCGGATCGGAGGCATATACTGCTAGAGCCGTCGTGTCCCTTCATTTCTGAATATCCGCCGCGTGTTCTTTGAGTCTAACCTCTAAGGATCGTTTGGTGGAGCCCACATACAGAAGGTTTCTATCACATCTGCAATCTATAATCGGTATGCTGTAGACCCCTGACAGCCTATCTTTATCAGGTTGATCTTTTCCATTGGTTAGTATGTTGAATATCGAAGTGCACCTTCTGTAGGCTATACGTATGTGGTTCTTTCTAGCTATTTCTCCATATAGCTGTCCAATATATGGATTATAATTGACTAGAACAGTTCCAGTCAATTATAATCCATATATTGTAACCTCTATCCATATATTATAATCCTACTTTCTGTAACCCAAGAAAAAAAAACTGAGATTTATAAAAAGAGTTTCAATCACAATGCATTCATTGTCAATACTGCAATATCAAGATGTCTTAAAACTTGTCAAATATACTTGAAGACACATCTGAAGATAGCCTTTTTAACTAATTCATACAAAGTCTGAATGTAAATTTCTATATAAACGCATTTTGAACATTTGAGAAAGCAGTCTTTAAATAAAATTATATGATTGAAAACATTTAACTTTTCATTAAGTTTTCATTTGAAAACTTAATGAAAACAAAAGTTTTTCTGACTGTTACATATCTAATATTTATAGCATTTCTATATACTACAATGAGTTTTTAAATTACCACTTTCAGACATTAAAACCTACTTTACAGTTTAAGCAAATTCTCTAGATAAAAAGATAGTTTTCTTTCAATTACTTTTGTTCATTTTATTAAACAATTCTAATTTTTCTAATAGAATTCCTGAGGTTGTGGCATATAAAATCAGTAAAAGTATTTAAAAAGAGTCTTTCAGAACTTTTTACTCTAAATCAATTTTGAACATATGAAACTGATAATATAAAACTTTTACTGTACTGTTTAAATAGTATATTTATAGTGTGTTGATAAATATAACCTTTTAACCATAAATGTACATATATAGTGATATGAAAAAATTTGCCTAAATGTTTTGTAATTATATAAATTTCTATGTAGTACTTATATGCATGTTTTTGTTAGGTATTATATATTAGTCTATATAAAAATGAGATACATATAACAGTAATCATAGATGCAAATATATATATATATAATATATATATATTGAATAAGTTAATTTCAGTTATAACATACCTTATTCAACTTCCAAGATTGCTTGCAAGAAACTGAATTTTCCATGGCTATATAATATAATTACATAAATGAAAAAATATGTTTAAATAATAATAAAATAAATTTATCATAATTATGTTACAAAATATTAATAAATAATACATATTTTTATTTTTAAAACAAGCATAATTTTTCTGTTAAAAAAATTACAACAATAATAAAAACAAAAATGTATACATTTCAATACTTTTAGTCAAAATTAATTTTTTTTATTTATAATTAGAAAACTTTCTAAAGATATTTCTCTAAGATATTCCCTAATATTAAACTCTTTTTTTTTGTTTTTAAAACTAAAAAATGATGATGCAATTATTAATTTTTCATAGAAAATGAAGTAAAAGTTAAAAAAATGATAGGCTAACTAACAATAAAAATTCTTTTAAAAAGCTTTTTCTGAAATTATTATCAGTTCATTGCTCTCTATACTCAAATATACATTTTACAGTTCAGAACAAAATGATTACATAAAAATTTTCTCTGAAATTGCAGTCTCCTGTAAAGTAAAACTTTCATAATAAAGGATTTATATTAATAGATTTCACTTAAGAGCTTACAAGCTAGCTAAATGTCTTACTACTACAAAAGCTTGAATAAGATATTTAGAGAACAAGGTCAAAAGGATTCATTCATTAATGTTTTGTATACAGTTAAATGTTTATGATAAAAATACTTAATCATTTTTCAGTCTCTTCAAAACATTTTTATTTTACACTTAATACTTCAATTAATGTGATATTAATATTCTATGCTAATAAAAAATTAAAATTAAATTTTAAATTTACATACATTGTTATGAAATAAAAAATTTTTTAAACAAAACTCCAAACTGCTTTTATTAACAAGAATTATATTTATTATATATTCTCAGCATTTATTGAATATTATAGAACATATTTTAATTTCAAACTACTTAAAATGAAATGTATTACCAATACAATCAAATTCCTAGAACAGGATGAGTAGTTAGGATATATTTATTTAAACTCTCAATATAACACTTCCAGCATTACTCAACAACATGTTAAGAATAACAAACTGAAAATTTTGGCTTAAACTGTTAAGTCTGTAAAAATACACATTTTTGTTTAAAATTTTAGGATTTATTCCAATTTCAATAGATATATTTAAAAATAAATAAAGTAAATTATAACATTTAAAAATAATTACAAAAAATAAACAGCAATACTTATATCTTCTAAAAGTAGAATAAAATTTTGAAAATATTAAATAATTAATAAGATTGATAATTTCAAACAGGACAATTTCAATCAAAATTTTGAATTTATTACTTCTTATAACATGTTCAAAGTAATCAAAAAGTATAAAATAGTAGAAATTAATATGGAATTCCATATCAAAATAATTAATATATTATGAAAGTTACAAAAGTTGTTTAAAATGAATTGTTAGAATATTTTATTATTTCAATATATCATATGATTAATGTGAAGAGAATTATAAAAAATTTTATTCTGATAGTAAAGTATATTTATATTTTATTTTATTGTATGTACTAANCTATACTAACTTTATCTTCACCTATACGAATTGCAATACCATAGCGTTATTCGCATATTATGAAAAATAGACATTACAATGTATCAAATTTTATTTTTTGTTCAACATTTATAAAATGAATTTTTAACGGTTAAAATTATAATTTTATATTTTATTTTATTGTATGTACTAAATAAATGCATATTATAAGTTTGTTAATTATATAAGTTAGCAAAAATATTAATATTTTAATTACTGTATTTACTTGCGTATAAGACAAGGTTTTTATTCATTTTTCACTGCTTCAAAAACCTACGTTGTAAGTGAAAGATTCTTTGTGTTTTTGCAATAATTTTTGTGAACTGTGTATTCTCATTTTTTTACTGGATGCTCACTCTCTGGTCTGGTGTTTAAAAACAAAACTGTTTTATCTGGGTCGTTTGAATCGTTCTTGTGTATTGTCATAAGTAAAGATGAATAGCAATAGGAAAAGCAAAGCTTTTGAATTGAATTCCGAATTGAAATTCCAAAATCACACAGGAGCTCAATATAAGTTTTAATCCATTCCCACGTGAAAACAGATGATTATTCAGAAATCAGAATTCGGAGAAATGCATAAATGTGGATTTGACTGTTAAGAATAGGCAAAAAAAGTTTCCAATTGTCCAGCTTTACATGAACAAATTATGTTGTCGATTTTACAAGATATTTACTTAAAGTTTAAAATGCCAGTAATTTTTGTGGATAATGTGTGCATTTAAGTGCATTTGATAATATTTTATTTGTGATTAAACAAAATAAAATTAGAATTGTATTGATAAATCTAATTTTCTTTATTTTGATCTTTAAAGTCATACCTTGTCCTATATGCGAGATTGTCTTTATATGTGAGTAAATACGGTACCTTATATATAATATATATATGTCAATAGATCATAACATACTATATAAAAATTCTTTATGCACATTTATCAGTGTTCTCACCAAGCTAGTTTTAGCTGATTGATTAAACAGCAAATATATATTCCAACCAGTTAAATAAAATTTAAAAAAAAAAAAATAATAATAATAATAATAATGAAAATACAATAAATATATGTATTCTAGAACCACTAACTGGCATGAAAATTCCAAACTAATATTGGCAAACGCTTTCGATGCCCCTCCTGGGCTCTTCTTCAGGCCAAATTTAACGTACTGGATTCTTAATTTGAATATTTAAAAAAATAAAATAAAATAAATAAAAAAAAAATTGGCCTGAAATTTGGCCTGAAGAAGAGCCCAGGAGGGGCATCGAAAGCGTTTGCCAATATTAGTTTGGAATTTTCATGCCAGTTAGTGGTTCTAGAATACATATATTTATTGTATATGACCCAGTGTGGGAGAAATATTTGATAATGAAAATATATTTTAAGATAACTGAACTATGAATTAGTACGGCTTGACTATTGTAATATGAGTATTGTTCTGCTGTCATTAACTGAGTTTTGTAGATAAAAAAAAATTTATTGTAGTAGCCAGCTAACACTGAAGATCAGCTATGAAAAATTTTTTCCTGGGGAAAGCACTGGAATTTGAATATAAAAATTTTTATTAGATAGTTTAAAATAGAATTTCTGTTCTATTGTGCTTAATATTCTGACATAGAGAAAAAGTCAAAAATAAACCACATTTTTGATGTTGCCTAGCAACAGTTGTAATTACAAGTATGTGTGCAATTCAAGATTTTCTTAGGCTTGTCAGTACCGTTTGACATATGACAGATGCTTCTATTTAAATAGATTACAAATACAAAACTTCAAAGTATGTAGATGTGCACTGTCAGAATTCTGAAATGATATATCAAAAGCAGAAAGTCAACATTAAATTGTACATCAAACCTGTAAAAACTTTTAGCAAAACATTTAAACTGCTTAAAGGAGCAGACGATGATAGTATCATGTTGCATATGCAAGCATACAAGATCAAATATTTTAAAAAGGCTGTGAACCAGTAGAGGATAGTTACTATCCAAGATACGCTAGTTTTAGAAAGAAATGAAGAAATAATTTCTAGAGTTTCTGAAAAGATCAAAATAGATTGTAAGTGATCAAAAGATAGGAATTATGCATGACTCTGTACATGACTTGAAAATACATTACTTCTGTTCTCACACTGTTCTGAGAAAGTTAACTAGTGAGCAATGTAAAGAATGTGCATTCAGTAGCGGAGAACCAGATTGCTAATGACCTAGATATTTTAAACAGAGTGATTATTCTAATAATTACTAAGCACTAATCTTTATTTTCACTTGACAATTATTAACTTCAAAATATTATTGAGGATAACACTTACAAGTTAGTTTTTCTTGTTTACCCACACATCTCTTACAAATTAGATGTGGAAATCAGCCTTTTAATCAAGGTAGAAAATATTTTCTCTTAACAGGTCCAAAGAAAAGACAATGCTTTAAAGATGAAAGGTCTGGTGCATTACAAGTTTGTTTCTAACAGTAAACCTGTTAACAAAATCTTATATTGACATTCTTGGACATCTCAGTGAGACAATAAGATGAAAATGACTTCATCTTTGGCAAGCAAAACGCATTCTCCACCATAACAATGTCCTGACACACATCAATTAATTCATCATCATATTATTCAATTGTTATGAAATTATGCAAATAAAGATCTAATTGGGAAGTATTGAGTTAGTTAGCAGATATCTGCCAAAACATCAGATATACCTGTACTTCACAATCTCTTTACTCATAAGATTTGCTCCTGCAGACGTTCATATTTTCACACACGCTACTGAAAGTTTACAGATACAAAGAAGAAATAAAAAATTCTACAGCAATTGCACTTAAGTAGGTTACACAGAATGGGATACAAGACTGTTTTAATAATTGGTAGAACATTGGTAGAAGTTTGTAGTTGTAGCTGTAAATTATGCAAATAAAGATCTAGTTGGAAAGTGTTGAGATAGCAAATGAGGTTTAACATAATTCAATCCCTAAAACTCAAAATAACTGAAACAAAATTAAAAATCAATAATGTAACAGAATTACATACACCACAGCCTCAGATAAGTCCAGCAACACAACTTAAAAAGCTCTACAAACATTTTTGGTCTACCTCTAAGACCTTCATTAGATTGAAGTCATTTTAAAATAGAATGTTCAATGAATGCAGAATTCAAACAAAAATGTATCATGTGCACTATTTGATTGGAAGATTGTTTAATAGCATAGTGGTATCCCTGGTCTGGCAAGTGTAGACCACTTGCCAGACCAGGGATACTTCTCATCTTTGTTGTTAATTAATATAATATCCCTTACCATTGGTTTCAAAAAATCTCCACGGCTTAAAGATTTCTAATCTCCTCTCCCTATAGCGTCATTCTTAATAAAGCTGCTTGATATAAGAACATTTTCATATTGTCAGCTGAGGTGCATATGGATAGGGTGGTGAAATTCTTCCCATTGTTAATGTCATATCTGCATTCAGTCACCTTTTTCATTACGGGTGCTTGGGGAAGACTATGAAGACCCTATCAAATCTGTCATCATATAAGGGAATCAAACAGTGTACATTCTGTTTTTGCCTGAATTCTGCCTTCTTCAAACATTCCATATTAGAATGACTTCTATCTGATAGCAGTCATAGGGGTAGACTGAAAATGTCTATAGAGCTTTTGTTATCTTTTGTTATAGAGCTTTTGTTATAGAGCTTTTGTTGGTCTGAGACTATGGTGTATGTTTTTCTGTTAATACATTGTTTAGTTCCAGTGAGAGAAGAGTTTTTGTAAATAATATATATTTCTCTCCTGCTACCTCATACTAGAATTCACTTATTGTAATTATTGGAACTCACCTGTATTGATAGCAATAATTAAATGATGGTTCTGTTGATAAATGACTCCATACATATATTATCCATAACACATCATGGATGAACTGAATGATACAATAGAATTACACAGGGTTAAAAAAATGAAATTACAGTAAGTAAAAATTCTGTTTTTATTGATTTGATATTATTAAGAACATATTAAAAAGCTATAATTTGAAGATCTATTAATTCTACTTATAATAACTAATTAATTATTAATTAGTAGCTATTCAGTCCAGTTTGATTTGCCTGCTGGTTTTTGTAGTATACTGTCTTATATGCCTGCTAGTGTATAATTAAAGTAAGAAATGCCAATAATTTAAACTATTCTACTATGAATAAATAACTATTAAAATGAACAACAGTGGCATGCAGTGGCATTTGATGACAAGAAAGCTGTGCCAGCCCTGGATAGAATTATTGAAAGCGTTATATGATATTTTGGTGTGTAGCATTCACGAGCTAAACCACGAGAGGTTGGTGCTCTATAAAGAGCATGCACAAATACCTGTAATCTGGCTGCTTTACACAATTCAAATATTTCTGCTGTGGAAGCTATCTGGTATACAACAATACAGCACTTCCATTGGAAATATGCATATATGAATTTATATTCAAATATACAATGGCAATTTTATCATTGTTTTTCACATGTAGTATAGAAATTTGTAATAAGATATGGAATGTAGTTATAATAAAACATTAATTTTAATTAATTCAAAGTGCATTAAAATATGAAAATAATCACACAATATGTATTTATATTTTACCATTAGAAAAATAGGAAAATAACACAGATTAATTTTACTAGTGATTAGTATAAAAATCAAAAAATAAAATTTCATATTATTGGAAAATATATTTATATATTAGATAATTTATAAATACAATGGTACCTTATATTTCAAACCACTCTAAATTCAAATATTCCAGAGTTTGATTGCTAAATTCAAGAGAAATTTGATCTGGAGTTCCAAAGATGATTCTATGTTTGAACTGCACATGCAGTGAAAAAATATGTTCCTGTGTAAACACCTTCTATACAAAGGTGTTCTAGCAGGTTAGTTTTTCAGTATATAATTTTTTAAAGTCTAGTTATGTCACTAAGGCATAAAAATTTGAATAAGTTTTGATGATTTTATACTGGAATAACAGCAAGACATATATTTTACTGTAAGTGATTGGGAGTCTTACAGTGCACATAGCTCCAAAATTGTTGATTTTGAGTTACATCATTAATGTTCTTAGCAGACAACATTAAGAATAACATTTTGATTTTTATACATAATTATATCATGGAATTTTGTAAAAATTTCATTTGTACAACTAAAATCTTACTTACAAAACTTCAAAACTGTTGTAATTGTATTTCTCTTTAGTTTAAACATGGATTTGTTTCAAACTGTAACACATCTTACTAGATACATTATAAATATATTTAAAAATTTTAAAGTGAATTTACAATAAATCTTTGGATTGATAATTAAACAAATGCAAATAATATTATTTCAAGTATTACAATAGCCTTATTAATTAAATTTAAAAAATGTTTTCAGCTATTCCTATAAATAGCCAGACCATATCATTTACAATCTAAATGGGAACACATTTCATAATCAATGAAAACAGGGTCTAAAACTGATTTTTAAAATTTATTTATTTATTGATCTATATTGATATAACTGTTGATATTATATTGTTGTGTTAATAAAATTGCTATAATCAAAGATTGATTTTATAAACAATTATTTAAAAAAAAAAAAAACAGACAAAATTGAGGCTATCTGATAACCCTGCTGTAGACCCCATAATCGTCATTAGTTTTTAACTGTATAAGAAAACACTTATAAAAATATGTTTAAAAAGAATATAACCAAATTTAAAATGTTTGGGAGCTAAAAGCAAAATAGAATTAAAACTTAGAGAATAGAACAGAAAGATTGTCCAGATTGAAAGATAATCAAAATTAATAAAGTATCCTAATTCTCAACATGTGGATATGAATAAAAATCTAAATGAAGATCTAGATATAAAAAGCATATGAGCAATTCACACCAGACAAAATTAACCATTACATCAAATTTGATCTGTATAAATAAAATCACACTTATTAATTTTTAAAATGTTTTACAAAAATTGTCTAGATAAAATAATGTTTAGATTATTATCATCCAGATTTTTGAAGTATTATTATATCACAAACAGATTACTGAAATGAGTTCAAGGTAATTGTTTTATATAATTATATATTAAAACGTTAACTGCTTTTGATTCATTTTTATAACTAGAGCAAAACTTAAATTTATTTATTTGTAAATTAACCAAATAATATAGGGCATGTTGAGTGGAGTGAGAAACTTTATTATAAAGTATTTTCAACTTTTTAAATTGTTTCATGTTTAATTACATTTTTTTAAAAACAAATTTCTATATAAATATAATCCAAACTAAAATTTCACATTTGTTAATTCTATCAATGAATATGCTGGAGTATTAAAAGCTTGCCAAACTTGAAATAAATCCAAAACTCTAATTTAGATGAATGATTTATAACAAGACCTTTGTGTCAGACAAACATTGTAAAATGAACACAATTTTTGTTCACTTAGCATACAATTCATTTTTAAAATTTGTTAAATTAATATTATAATTAACAATATCAAAATTTTGATCTCATCAACTATTGTGCTTGTTTGAGAATTTACAAAATTCTATATATTTAAAATTGTTTCTGAATTGTGTTTATGTAACTGTGTGGTACAGTAATAAAACATTTGTATATAATTTGTTTTGCTTTTTATATTCTTTCTTTTTGTTATAAATTTTTCACAAAAACTAAATTTTGATAACTAGCAAATGTTTATTCAAAGAATACTTTTGCATCTATGCAGTTAAAAATTTGATAAAAGATTCCATTAAAATATAATTCGTGTTATTTATTTCAGTAAAAACATTCAATATTACAACAAATATAATAAGAGAATTTTCGTTATTAGATCTACATTTTTCTATTTTTAAAACAAAATAATACATTTTTTTTTAAAAATTGGTTTTTAATGAATTAATAAAATTTGCTTTTAGACAAACCATTTGACTTATTTAAGCAAATAAAATAAATTTCTGTTTCTATTTTGAAACTTTGATATGTTTCCAAAAGAAACATAATTTAAACTGTTCGTCATAATTAAACAACTGTTCATAAATTTGTATTTCAAATACATATAATAAAAGCCATGCAATTGAGAGGACGGGAAAGATGATTTTTTTTACCAGACCCAGCGAAAACGTGGGGGGCTATAATGGTTAACATCTGTACAAATTAATGTTATTTTTACTAACAAGAAGTAAATCATGTAAATTTATTTTTATTAATAAACATTCCACCTATTTTATTTGTCAAAAAAATAAAATAAAAAAGCTACAGGAACCAATTAAGAGGCAAAAGGATCCTGTTCTACATCAGGTCCCATACAAGAACCCGTACAGAAAGTGTACACTTTAAGTCAGCTCTTCAGTTTTACAATAAACAAGTTTAAAAAATGACGTCAAATTGACGTAACAGCGTACACTTTTCCGTCAAGTCTAAGTTCTGGGCGGTCCTGCATACGATATAAACATTAAATGTTTAGTTTTTTCAAAAAAAAAAAAATTATTTAAAATTAGAAAAAAAATAAAAACTTAGAGTTGATTCAACGCTTCAAAATAACTTTCTTTTTTAAATTTTGAATTTTAATAAAAATGTATAATTATAGTACTAAGCATGCAATAAAACATTAAACAACAGATAATCTTACCAAATTGATAAATAAAAATATATTTTTCTCATTTCAACCTATCCTATTTTACCCGTCAACGTGGACCACATTACATCACGCAACTTTCTTTTCTCATAAGGTTACAAAACAAATTAAGTTTGTTTACCAAAATGGCAGATGACTAACCAAACAACAAGAAGCTTGATTCGTTGCTAAGATACGTGACGTCATCAATTCAATTATATACGAATTTAAAATCGTTACAAATAAATAAAATTATTATTTTTTTATGTAATAATAATAAAAATTTAAATGTGTTAAATTATTTTCAACCGCCGTTTAGTTTTTTTTAAAATATCAACGTACTTTTTCGAATCGTTTGTTTACGGTTTGAGAGTGACAGAGTCAACAAGGTGACAGAAGATCGTTTGGCAATCAAAACAAGTAAAATTGGATAAAATTTTGTGTATTATCGTAACTAAATGTGAACTGTAAGTTATAAATAACGTTAATTTGAAATAATTTCGACGATCGAAAGGGTTTTTTTTTTATCAATTTGTAAACTTAAAAATCTCTCTCGGCTGTATTTTTAGACTAGGCTTAAAAGGGCGAAGCAGTGTCAAGTTTTAATTGTAATAACGTCTTCCGTATTGTTATAACAAGTGTTAAAGTGTTAAAGTGAAATTGCATTGTTTTTACGTCGAGTCATTTAATTATTTTGTTTATATAAGAAGTATAGAGGTGCCAATCCTAATGATCAGCTGTTTATGTCGTCTGCTGACATCTTTGATGTTTTCAGATTCATTTTTATCATTTCCCAAAGTCTGGAAAAGAAATAGAAAAATTTTGACACATCCAAGAAGTATTCTCAAGAACTTTATAATATTATAAACTTTTCGTATTGGAGAAATAAACTTTTCTTTCTTTAAATATCAATTTTTATTTAAAAATAAAAAAACAAAAAAACCATGAAACTCTTGGAAAGTAGTCGATTCGAAGCTATTAATTCTGCCCTGTGCTTTGAAACTGGTGATTGTAAAATTATTGGCAGGTAAGTTGTTATTTAATTAAGTATTTTTATATGGTAAAATTTTGCAGCATAATTTTTATATTTTGTATGGTGTAATAATGTAATTATGTAATTTTTATATATATATTTGCAATTACAATGATGTTTTTTGTTGAAATGCATGTAGTTTTGTTTGGTACTTTTCTGTTAACTGGGTGCCATTCAATTTTCAATCCAGTTTTAGAAAAAATAATGTTTAATTTCATATTTTTTACAGATAAACCTTATAAACATGTGTATAAACAATGATGTATAAACATATTCATTGTAATATATTAAACATGTGCGAATTACAAAATAAAATATCAATTTTGTTAAAAATAGTAGTAAAACTGACTGGTGCCCAGTTAACAGAAAAGTACTTTTTGTTTTTATGCAATATTTCTTTTGGTAATATAACAGATATATTGAAACTGACTCGTGAAATCAAAACTCCTTCAGAACTGATGCACATTACAATGTACTGTACAGTAAACTCCTGTAAAATGCACAACTAGTACATATGCAAAATTCAAATTTTATCGTTCAGAGGTATATATATATATATATTTTTTCAACTTTTAGGCTAGGTTTAAACTTGCATAAATCGTGTGATAATGCAGGTTTTGATAATGCAATTTTCTATAACGCATAGCATATCCCCCATGTTGTACAGGACTCTGCTGCACAGTTTTACTATTTTAATACTATTTCAATAGACTTAAAATACGTATTACTGCAACCGTGTATACACCTTTGCTTTGAGCATATTTTTATTTTAAAAAATAGTATAGTGTCTTCATCCGTCGGATTTTATTCAAAATACGTGATGTTGTGGTGTGTCAAATGGTAATACCTCATTTTTGCTTTTGAAAAAAAAAGCAGGTCTAAAGGGGGTCAAAATAGAGAAATATTTTGAAAATATTTGACAAAATAATATTACAAACTTTTTAAAAAGTAATAATAATGATTTCAACTAGTTTTGTAATTGCTTTAATTTTCATTAGATCCATTAGTTATTCTTGAGTCAATACATTATTATCTGAAATATAAATGCAATAAAATCAGTTAAAACTCTGGTTTTACTTCAAGTGGATGTGCAAACTGGATTTATGTATTGTTCATTATAGCATTACATTGATCAATCTAAGATGACATTTAAATATGATTTATTTTTTAAAATTTTTTTATTAATAAAAATATTAATTATCAATTTTTATACAAAGGCTATTTTTTAAATAAGGTCCATTTTTTAATAAGAAGAAAAATACTGTAAATATCATTAAAATATATTTTTTTCCATATTCTACATACTTTTTTCTACTTTTCTACATAATTTCCATTTTTGTTCATACATTTGTCATACCGCTCAACAATTTTTTCAATTCCAACTTCAACGAAATCTGCCGCCTGTGAAAAAGTCGAATCCATGACTGCAGTTTTCACTTCTTCATTGTCGTTGAACTGTTGACCACCAAAAAACTCCTTTAAGTATCGAAACAAGTGAAAATCACTGGATGCAAGGTCTTGACTGTAAGGTGGATGATCCAGTTGTTCCCATCCAAAAGAACTGATTAGACCTTGTGTTTGTACAGAAACATGTGGCCTTGCATTGTCATGGAGCAACATCACACCGGAAAACAGTAGACCATGCCGCTTGTTTTGTATGGCACACTGGAATTTTCTCAAGGTCACACAATATGCATCAGAATTGATTGTTGTTACTCTCGGCATAAAATCCACTAACAAAATCCTTTTCCTGTCCCAAAAGACAGTTGCCATAATTTTTCATGCTGAAATGGACTGTTTGGCTTTGGTTGGCGAAGATGTGTGTCGCCATTCCATTGACTGTTGCTTGGACTCAGGAGTCATGTGAGACATCCAAGTCTTATCTCCTGTAACAATGTGGTCCAACAATTTATCTCCTGTAATGATGTGGTCCAACAATTCATCTCCTTCCTGGTCATATTGAGTCAAAAACGATAAAAGCATTGCCCAATCTTTTTGTTTTGTGGTCATCAGAAAGCAGTCACCAAGAACACAATTTTCGATAATTCGGTTTCTCCGAGACAATGGCATACAAAACTGATCTGAAACCTGTGGAAATTCAATTGATAACATTGAAATTGTGAATTGTCGGTCCTCTCAAACTTTTTATCTACATCACAAACCAAATCTTCAGTAATCAGAGAAGGTCAGCCAGGGCGTGGCTCATCATGCACATTAACCCGCCTATCCTTGAACGTTTTCACCCATTTTTGAACTTTACTGTCACTCATAGCATTATCACCCTAAACTTCACAAATCTGACAGTGAATTTCTGCTGCTGCCAAGTTTCTTGCACTCAAGAATTGAATAACAGATCGTATCTCACAGTCGGTGGGTGACTCAATTTTCTTAAACATCATAAACTTTTACAGCTCAGCACACAGACAGACAATACAGCTGCAAATGGTGTCTAAATGCGCACAAAGCATGCTCGGAGCAGACGCACATACACACTACTGTGATCGCACGTTATTTACACTCTCATTCACAAACGGACCTTATTTAAAAAATAGCCCTCGTATTTGTTTTTGAAATTGATATTATTTTGAAAATTGAAATAGTTTAAGTATTATATTTACAAGTATCAAATCATTTCAAAAGTTCTATATTTTATGTTTGGAAATGTCTCGTATGAAAGTATTTTCATCTTCAATCATATAACAATATTTATTTTGTATTTTCTATTATATTAAAATATCTGACATTACTATTATAAATTTATTTAATAAATAAATGTTAGTAAAAGACACTAAGAGTTTCTACAAGTATCAAATTTGAAATAGTTGCATGAATCTTATTGTATATACAGGGTATATACTGTACTTATAATATATACATAATACATTACCATAAATATATCCTTTTGTGTGTATTGTTTCTAACAAATAGTTTTAATATCCAAGATTTTTTTACATAATACAAAATTTATCTTATTTAAGATCATACAAAATTTTTATATGATCTTTTGATTTGAAAATCTGTTCAGGTGGATCTAAATGTAATTTGATTCTCAGCAAATATATAAGATAGTTCAGTATAGATGTTATCATTGTAATTTTAAATAAAGAAGAAAAGTTATTAACAAAATAATTTAAAGGGGAAAATCAATAGAATTTTATTTTTCGTAGAACCAATGATATCTGAAATCTAAATATAATAAACAAAAGTTTTTAATTTTATCAACAGGAATATATTTCATAATAATAAATATTATAAACTGCTAAAACATTCAGGATCCTTTGGCTCATTTTTCTATAATCTGGTTCTAAAACATAAATATATTATTCTTAACACTAGCATTCAGGTTATAATAATGAAATACATCAAAATTTGTTTACTTTCTAGCTCATATCATGGTATTTCATCTTATAATTATTTCATAAAGTTTTATAAATTTTTATGTAAAAATAGAAAAACATTTAAAAGATTATTAAAGCAGAACTTTTAAAATTATCTAAAGATTTTTGTTAAAAATTTTATAGTACTATAAATTTGTTAAAAANTGCTAAATTGAAACTGATTTTACTCTGGATTACCAGATGTCCTAAAGATTTTTGTTAAAAATTTTATAGTACTATAAATTTGTTAAAAATCTTATTTTGACAGATATAAACATATTCAATTGTTGTTTAGATTCTATAGAACCAGCTTATTTATGTTTTACAAAACATAAATTTTTAGGCTTTGAGCATGGAATCTAAATTCTTACGAGTATCTTTAAATTTTAAATATCATTAATTGATAGTATTCTAATCTTCTTAATTTAAATTGTGTTTAAATTCTCAACAAATATATATTTTGTATGAAGAGCACGTTAATTTAAATTTGACAATAATAAATAATTTAAAAAGCAATTTTTGTAATAAAAAAATTCAAGTTATTTAGAGATTTCTGCAATTTTTATATCTTGACTATAGATAATATAAAAATTAAGTATTGTATATGCTATTCTATGTTCTTTCTTAAATCAGGTGACTTTAGTCTTAAAAGACAGATTATTATTATTATAAAATAGCCTAATTGAAGCTTAACCTATCAACTTGAAAACATGTCAAGGTCAACTTGTGAAGAATGATCATATACTGTAATGTTTTATATTATTTATTTACTTAATGTATTGTTAATTAATACGAAATGCATAATTTTAGTATCTCTAAGAGTAGCCTATCATATTTAAAAGTTATAAACTTTTAAAAAATTAAACTTTTTCTATTTGCTTATGCACTACTATTGTTAAATGGTATTTGAAATTCATCTACATGAAAGATATTAAATTTAAATGTGAAATAATTAGAAAAAATTTGATTTTCAAAATTATCATCAGATAATGTATAGCCTTTACTATTATATGTTTGTATCCTAAAAATATTCACAAATTTCAATAGCATTTTCCAGTAATTTTGAATAATTGCACATGCACACAAGATAGCATTTCTGAAATGTTCTTGATTCTATTTATCAAAAAAGTTTACATAAATAGCCTTTAATTTTAAAAATAGAAGGATTAAATGAAGTCAATCAGAGAAATGTAATTCACAGACTTTATACTGAAAAAATCACAAAAATAGTAAATCAAATACAGTTAAACATTTCTCTGCAATGGAGTTCCACAGCATACAGTGTATAGCATATAGCAGTGGTTCCCAACCTTTTTTCATTAGCGTACCCCGTGACATGTCATATCTCTAGATTGTACCCCGTGACATGTCATATCTCTAGATTGTACCCCTCATTTAAGAAATTTAGTGAGTAACCGTATTGTTAATTTTACATATTGTAACTTTAAATTAAAGAAAAAAAACCTAAAAGAAAAAATGTATAATAAAGTTGTGATTGTTGCAAGGAACATTTTTTATCTAATAATTTTTTAATACTATTAGTTTGTGATACATAATATATTATTTTTTCTGCCATAATAACTAACTTTTTTCTGTACCCCTAAACAACCTATCGCG